TTTAAAAGCTAGAAGCAGTCTTTAAGGATAATTTTGATAAAGACGGTGAATTGACCTCTTGTTCGTCTTAGCTCGCGTGATGGGTAAACCGCGTGACCAGATAATCGCGGGACTTGAAATATGAGGCAGAATGAGATGAGGTAACGCTAGTAAGGGGATTAACATAAATTGGAATAGTCATTTACTAAATTACTGCGAAAGTTTCATTGAAAGCCCAAGGAAGAGCAAGAACTGCGTTTTCGCCCATAGCTGCGAGTTACTTATTTCATAAATTACACAAAACAGAACAGTGTAAGTTCCTTTGGTAAAATCCCATAATCCAGTGTTTGACTGCGGCAAAATATATCTTGTCAGGTCATGACCTATTAATATTATAACACAGAATGAATAGTTGAGAAAGCCATGCAGGTGCATGTTAATTTATGGGAAAGCGTACTTAATCGCTCAACAATATGAAGCAATCATTGCTCGTTTTTTTAATTTTTTTTTAATTTTTTAAAATTTTTTTTTATCTTCAAGATATGGAACAATGATTCAATTTTTTTACGAGAAAAGGTACTTTAAATTATCGAACACAAAACGACAACATTACACATCGGACAAAGGAAATGACTAAATTACGACTTATCCTGCTAAGCTTAAAGAAAAGCTGGGTCGATAAAAACGCTGCTTAACATGACAATTGTCCGACTTCAGCTGGATTACCACCAAACTCGTTTGTTTGTTCATACAACAATAAAACCATAACAACGGTAGAAGTATGCCGTAGGCCAGCTTGCGAGCACTGAGGCCTTCACTATCAGCGCTTCAGCCTGCGCGTTTTTTTTTGCCCGGCACCGGAGGATAGGCCTTGCACGGGGTCTAACACAGTGCCAAGACTTCCCAGCAAAACGTTGCCCGACTCTTCTCAGATCTCAGCTTCGGCGGAGAATCGCGCGTCCTGCAGTGCTGAAAAAAATACATTTGGACAGGTGCGACCTGTTTTATTTATTATGATTGCTCAGTTGTTGATGATAGGTTTAGATCAAACATTCTGGCAAGTATAAACAAACCAAGTCTCGTCAGAACCTTTCATGTAGGATTGACAAGTAAGATACAATAAAGTCTGTCGTATTCTTGAAGGCGCTTTCATCTCATTTGATTGACTTTTATATTATACTGTTACGTCACGCAGAAGCTTGCAGCCTTGCACGGTTAAAAATTTAAAATGGTGGCCGGTACTTATGCAACGCGGCGAGTACAACATTCCATGAAAAATGGCTTTCCAAAGGGATCCAACGGCTTTGCAAGCCACCGGAGAGAGTTAAACACAGAGCTGGAGGAGGATCTCGAGGAGACACCACTGTTTATCGCTGTTATGACATACTTGTCGTATTTCTTCTTGATAATCTTCGGTTACATGCGTGACTTCATGCGCAAGTACGGATTAGAGAAGTCCAAGTCTGTTAAGGAAACAGGAAATCAGGTAAGGATATCACTTTAATTAAAGAATCTTGTCTGTGCTTAGATGAAAGAGAAAGTAATTTTACTTTAGGCTATGCAATCTCTAAACCTTGAATTATAAATTAGGCAATGTAATTCTACCAGCGCTTAACCCTTACGTATAAAGAAACATTTGTGACTCGCTATGGCAAGTACAACATTGAACCCTGTTTAAGTCGCAATGAAAAAAAAAGGGTAATATTTGAAATTAATTACTACAGTCACAGATGAGTTACGACTCGAAGAAACCGACAGAACACGACATTGATTTATTAGTCAAGAGCGTGAAGTTGTAAATAATCCGATTGAAAGCAATGTGTGGCAAGAACTTGCCAGAGTACTTTTTATCAGTGATTAAAGGAAAGCTACAAGCAAAATTACTTCAACTCTTGTGCCGAAAGCTGAAGAAAATTTTGATATGTCTATACAAAATTACGGAGGTGTGTTTCATGACCTATGGACTTTTAGCCTAACGCATGCTCAATGGGTGTAATACTCGGTGGCGTGACCAAGCGTGATCTTGGGGCACGTGCAATGAGCAGAACGTTTGCATAGTGGATGAAGAAAATGTAAACGCATTACGACCTTCTTTCAAACGAATTGGATAAACTCAGGCTGTGATCGTCTCTATTAAGTACTAAACGGTGTTTTTTTGTAACCTTCTAATGTTTTGATGTGTGTCGCAAACGGTTGTGCAAGCGTTGAAGCGTAAAGGATATCTGTTTCTTTGATATTTATTTATTTTTTATGAAACAACATTAACATACGTTAACCACGATGAGAAGCATTTGAATTTTGCTCAGACGAGTAGAACAATGGTCGGTATTGGGTAACTTTGAGTATGTAAACGTATTTTCCTCAGAAAAGTTAAGGACAGGAGAATATCAGATGTTGATATTCTCTAGTTAAGGTTTAATATCACGCGTGTTTTCAGAAGTTCCAGAGGTTGCTGCAACTTCTGAAAACACAAGTGATAAAAATCCATAATTTTACGAGGAAAAATGCGTTTACTTGTTTATGATGTAAAGGACAAAATTTCTTTTCCCTGTTGAGCAATTGTGTAGGAGCCATTTCAATTTTCAGGTAACCTCAATAAATTGTGTTAATTGACGCACGAATCGGCAGAATTAAATTTTATTTTTGTACAACAACGCCAAAGCAATGAAACCAACCCTGCTGAAAAATAATTTGCTATCAATGGCATTGTAATACTTACATTACATGACCGTTACTCATTGGTCACCAATTCAGCAAGTTTGCAAATTGAATGACCAAAAGTTTCATCTACCCGCCATGGTGATCAAAAAGACTGTAGATGGAAGTGCTGTCAAAAAGAGGCTTCTTTGTTTATCATGAGATGATTAACCTGTCTATGGTTTTCACTGATTGCAGGGTTTTGTGCCGCTTTATTCCGACTTTGAGAGTTTCTATACACGAAATCTTTACACTCGTGTGAGGGACTGTTTTAACAGACCCATTTGTAGTGTTCCTGGCGGAGAGGTCGCGCTCGTGGATAGAGAGTCTGAGGACTGGAACTGGACTTTCAGGTAGCTTTAAAGTAATTCCCCCAGAACTTTGTCAAAGTTTGACCGATTAGACCCTACTCTCTCCCCCTCCCCCTCCCCCCCCCATTTTTTTTGAAAATGTTAGCCACGCTCCTGTGCAATCCATGTGAACCTTCTGTGATGATTTTACAAGGGATGCATTCAGCGGTCTCTTGTGTCATGTAATGATGCCCAAGTGCCTGGCAACTCTATTTTACTCTGACAAACTACCCTTTCAGGGTCTTTTTTTAACACCAACATAAAGGAAACTTAGAAAGTCTAGAAATGAATCAAAAAGCATATCATATACCAATGAAGCTCTTTTCAACCAGAACAATAATTCCCATCAATTCGCTTGCTCTAAGTAGTTTTTGCCAATTTTCACGACATTCCAGCGAAGGTTTGTTTTTATTTTTCAAATAACCTTTGTACACTTTGGTTTTTGCACAACATATCTACTATTTAATTGCTGTTTACGTGCACTTATATCTTAACTATTACTGATCAGGTTAAAATGAATTGTTTTGTTTAGATACCCAGGAACGACAACAAAGACTGTCAATCTTGCTTCTTATAATTATCTTGGGTTCGCGGAGAATTCTGGGCCGTGTGCAGATGCCGCTGAACAGGCTGTTCGTAAATATGGCATTGCGGGCTGCAGCTCAAGACATGAATATGGTGAGTCAAAGTCCGGGAGATACTTGTTCTGGCGCTGACGTTTGACTACTGTGTTACTCCCGGAAATGTTGGTGGTGCTGTGCGGCGTGATTTTTAAAGCCCTTTCATTATTTCAGATTTGAATGTAGGAGTTACATGTACCGGCTTTTTCAGAGAAA